ATATAGTGAATAATGTATATACAATACTAAATTATTAAAGATTATTGAATTAAGCATTTAAAACATAAAATTATTACCTCAGATTGCAGATAAAAATCAGACAAAAATGATGAGAAATAGTTACATGTTGAAGAATTCAATGATAGAAATGCAAAGTTTTTGACTTTGCAACAACTCCATTATGTCCTTCTGAAATATGTACAAATCTCTTTTCTCTCCGAAAATCTCAGTCGGCATATTTATGAAAATTGGATTTTTTATATAACATGCCGCCATCCACAAAGTTGTCAAGGCATCTGTCTCAGGTTCGATAATCGGTTTTGGTGTCACTGGCTTCGACTGAAATTTATCCTATGAATGAGAAATTTATTCATGTAAAATTTGCAAGAGAATGTAAATTTATGAGTTACTCATAAAATGATTTATTTTGTTCTAGATAACTCGTACGAACCAAAAAAACTCAAGACTAGGTTAGAATTACCTTAGCATTTGCACCTTTAACCAACCTACGAGGCCAAGTAATGAAGTTATTTGGCGCTTCTTCTACGGTTGTGACCTCTTCTGTCGGGCATGGCACGAGCGCATCTCCAACGATTACACGTAATACGACAACCCTCACTTCATCCTTATTCATCTTCTTGTGGTGAATGGTTGGCCCAAGGTTATGGATACGTCTGTATGCAACCAAAATTTTTTTTGGGTTCTCCACATACAACTCGCATTCTTTATCCTCGCTAAGTTCATCCAATGATAACACATTTGGAGCACAACTCTCTGTAGTGCTTTGGATCCTCAGAGAATTAGGACTATGGTCAATCGAAGAGCCTTTGCCAATCATCATCATTATTTCTTTTTTCCATTCGTCTTTCACTTCGTCAATCCTACGACTGATGATAGTTTCCATCTCATCTCGTGAGACCATATCTTTCCCTACACTTGAACAGCTCAACGGCCCAAAGAAGTCCTTGATCCCAACACCTTTAACCACTCCCCTCACACGCCCGGGATGCTCAGTCTTTCCTAACGCTGTTGCGAGTATATCGTTTCTCCCAACAGGTTTGAAACTGCCCTGAGTGCATTGTTCTTCTGAAGAATCCTGCATGAAATGTTTGAAGAATTTATAGAGTATTTATCCATTCATGAATGTACGAGGAACGTAAAATATAAAAACACGTCACTTACAATTTTGTCAGCGACAATTTTGGCTTCCTTTGAGACATAATCTCCTTTCTTTGTTATACGAGCTCTTTTCCATAATTCATGACGAGAAGGAGGAGATGGGGGTGGAATAATTTCCGATGGATCCGTGGAGGCCTCTTTTCTTGCCCTGTATTTCTCGTCCATAATCTTTTGCATCAAAAGATCGTAGCCTCCACGAGATAATATATGCGGACTTAGATTATATGATTGCGACTCCTGAGCCTTTTTTTCTGATTTCCTACATACATATAGATTAAAAAACACAATCAAGAAGAACAACTCAATATCCCAAATAACCACTTATCATTTATTTTCTCTCAAACAATCCTTATATAAAGATCAAACAAGTTAACAGAAACAATAGTTTCACGCACTTTTGAATATAAATGTCCCCAAACAATTTAACTTTAAATGTATGGACAAATGTACGAGACTCGAAATTATTTATGTTCATGATAATAATTAACTTACCAAGAATTCAGGAGTTTGACGGGACGCAACAAAAGCCTTCCAAGTGTCTGCATCCAGAAAAGGGTAAATATCGTCATATGGGAGCACACCAATCTTTTCTCCAAATACGTATTCTCTAGTGAGCTTAGTTTTGAAAGCCCTCCAAGCATCCCCAGCACGTGAAAACACTCTCGTTCTCAATTTCTTTTTATCTGGCACATCGTACTGCTCCTAAAAAATATAAAGATTCATAAAAAAATAATTAACGTTTAATCATTAAATTTTTAAAAACATAACAGGTATAACCCAATAAATCATTGAAGCATTCAATTACCAACTATTGTGTTTTTATAAAATAGATAAATCATACCGATAAAGCTTGCCAAATTTGCTCTTTATTCATATCAGTCACTTTTCTCCAGTCCGGTATCAAGATACTGATTTTGCTACGTCCTAGAACGGCGATGTAGCTATTAAACTTGCTCTTAGTTTCTGGATTTGGCCCGTTTGCCTCAAAATAACGATTGAATGTAACAGGTTTCTTTTCTCCATCTGACATTTGTATGTCTTTCATCCGTGTTGCTTTGCGACCTTTTTTTACGTGAGTTTCCTTATCTGAGCCATCTTGACTACTATTTTCAAAAAGATCATCCATTCTTGCACACTCTATGCAACCATTGGAAGCAGGTATTGCATATATAATAATATAATATATTCATGTAACCCATTAACTAAACAACTTTTTTTCTCTTTTTTTTATCGTTTTTTGTTCTGTTTCTGCATATTTTCTTCTGGAAATTTATATGATTTATTAAATTTTGTTTTTCCAAATATTCTGCTCAGATTTTCCATGTAACATTAGGTTTCCATCAAATTTTATAAAAAAAGTCAACATATGCTATTTTTCACCATTTTATGCATGCATGCCCACTTCTTTATAACTACACAACCAGTTTTTTTCTGAATATTGGTCACATATTCTCTCTATCATAAGCTCAAAAACTTTCTTCTAATGGAACATGCCTTTTACTTTTTATTCCTTCAATAATTATTATTATCATTAATATTATGTGAAGATAATTAATATGTGCACACTCATAACTTATTTTGTTATAAGTTATGAGTGTGAACATATTATTTTTAAAATCACAAGTTAGATAAAAACTATATAATTGACTCTGATTTATTTATTTGTTATTATTATTAGTTTTTGAACTTATGAAATTGTATCTAAAAGCAATGAGTAAAAAGTGATTAAATTACCTTGATGTTTCTGGTGTCTTCTTTAAGATGGCAAAAGGAGTTCCACTGGTATGATTAAGGGCTTCTTTACTTAATAAGTCTGCACCGAAAATCACCAAGGCATAACTTACGGTCACAAGAATAAAACATAAGACCAAACACAAAACAAGAAAAAAGGACAACAATTATTTACTTCCACAATTAAATCATGTAAAGAATCTGTTAAATTTTAAAGTTAGTCAGTAGCAGGTTAGAACTTACAAATGATGCGCTCTCAAAAGAAATATCAGCATACGCGTGATCTGTTGCTAAGCCAAACAATGATCTGCAATGTAAGCATAAAAATGAGAATCGAAAGTGGGTAAAAGTTAATACTATGAGACAAAAGTTTAAATAAGTTAGAACGGACTTAATATGAAGTTATAGTTCTATTAGTGCACACAAGTGTTTTAATAAATGAATCAGGTTTCCAATTACAAAGAGAAAAAAACAACAAAACGAGGGAACTAAAACAAGTCTAGAGGTTTTGAAAGATGAATATATATATATATATATATATATATATATATATATTTACGTAATATACTATGCATTCATGGGTGTGTTCTCCCAAATTCCTTCATGATGATCGTCTCGTATGGCATGGACATCGTCCACTTCATCTTCTTCATTTATTACAGACAACCTTGGTGATAATGAAGGAAATTCATACATATCAAGACTTGGCTCATCAGTATCATCAACAAGTTGTCGTTTACCCTGGAGTACCACCGACCAATGTTGGTCACTCGGATCAGAAACATAAAAGACTTGTTTTGCTTGGCATGCCATGACAAATGGTTCATTTTTATAACCCTCTCTTCTGAAATCAACCAATATGACTCCCAACTCGTCTACCCTCACGCCATTATTACCATCAACCCATTTACATTTAAAAACGGGCACGGTAAACTTAATGTAACTAATTTCCCATGTCTCATCAATAACACCATAATAAGAACTAGCAGCTAACAGTGGATTTTTGTCTTTTGAACTAGAGAAATGCATTGACTCGGCCACAACAGATACACCACTATTTTGCGTAGTACTCTTATCATCTCTTTCTTTCGTGCAGAAAGAGTACCCATTGATGTCATATCCACGCCAACATCTAACATCGAAATTAGGACCACCAGCTAACCACGTGATTGTTTCCGAAGTAGTATCATCCTTTAAAACCTGATTCTTAAACCACGTTAAGAATGTCTTGTTATGCTCTTGCACCAACCACCTTTCAGGTTTTCGAGGATTTTGTCGCTTTACTAGTGCCTTATGTGCAACTATGTAAGGATGCACTTCAGGAGTATTATTGAGAACATATGTATGTGCCTGTATCATTTCTTCACGATCAACACTCTTAAGTTGTCCCCCGACAGTCCCTTTACCGGACCCCTTTCCTTTGTGGCGAGCACTAGGGATGCCAACAGATTTTGACTGTGATAAATATTCATTGCAAAATTCTACAGCCTCTTCTGCAACATATCTTTCAACAATGAATGCCTCAGGTCGGCGCGGGTTCTTCACATAAGCCTTCAAAATTTTCATGTATCGTTCAAATGGATACATCCATCGCAAATGCACAGGGCCGCATAACCGTATCTTTCGCACTTGATGAACGATTAGATGTACCATAATATCAAAAAAAGCAGGAGGAAAGTACATCTCGAGTTGAGACAAGATAATTGCAGCATCATTCTCCAAATCATCCAGCACGCGAGGGTCAATGACCTTGCTACAAATAGATGTGAAGAAGAAACACAATCTACTTATAGTGCATCTTACTTTTTTTGGCAATATGCCTCTAATAGCCACTGGAAGTAGTTGTTGGACTAGTATGTGATGGTCGTGAGACTTCAACCCAAGCAGCTTTAATTCTTTTATCGACACCAACTGCTTTATATTGGAGGAATATCCTTGGGGAACCTTCACTCAGCGTAAGCACTCACAAAAACTTTGTTTCTCTTTCTTTGATAGTGTGTGACATGTTGGAGGTAGATAAGTTCTCCTACCTTGAGGCACCGGAGCCAACTCCCCTCGTATTCCCATAGCGATCATATCTTTTCGAGCATTCACTGTATCCTTTGTCTTGCTTTGTATATTAAGAAGTGTGCTTATAAGACTATCGCTCACATTCTTTTCCACGTGCATCACATCGATACAATGACGTACGTCGAGCTTGTCCCAATAAGGAAGATCAAAAAACATAGATCTCTTTTTCCATAAGCTTCTCCCGGCTGGCTTTTGTGTTTTACCGTACCTCACATTGAGGTTTTTAACTCTATTAAAGACTTGTTCGCCATTTAATGCATCCGGAGCACTTTCAAACTCGATATGACCATGAAATGCTTTTCTCAATCGACAGTATGGGTGGGCCGGCTTTAAAAACTTTCGACTACCAAGGTACACCGTCTTTCTCCCATGTTCGAGCTGATGGAAGCAAGTGCCTTCTTCACATATTGGGCATGCTTTATGCCCTTTAACACTATAACTGGACAAATTTCCATAAGCAGAAAAATCATTTATCGTGCAAAAAAACATAGCACGCATCTTAAATGATTCTTGTTTGTATGCATCAAATACATCAACGCCTTCCTCCCATAACATCTTCAAATCTTCAATCAATGGTTGCAGATAGACGTCTATGTCATTTCCTGGTTGTTTTGGCCCCGAGATCATCATAGACAACATGATGTACTTCCGCTTCATACACAATAAGGGAGAAAGATTATAAACAACCAATAAAACTGGCCATGCACTATGCTTGCTGCTTAGGCTACCATATGGATTCATCCCGTCCGTACAAAGACCGAGCCTAATGTTTCTTGGATCATTTCCAAAGGAAGGAAACAAGTGGTCTATTTTCTTCCATTGAGGGGAATCACCGGGATGTCGGAGCATACCATCGTCTATCCTCTCATCAGCATGCCATCTCAAATTCTTTGCCTCCTTTGCACTAGCAAAAAGATGTTTGAATCGTGAAATTATCGGAAGATACCACAACACTTTTGTTGGTGGTCTGTTTGTAATCTTAAGAGCATTGGACTTTGTGTGAACTTCCTTTCTGTACCGCGAAACCCCGCACATCGGACACTCATGAAGACTTTTGCACTCATTTCTGTACAAAATACAGTCATTAGGGTATGCATGAATTTTCTTATACCCCAAACCCAACGGGCACAAAATTTTCTTTGCCTCATAATTAGAGTTTGGCAATTCATTGTCTTCAGGAAGCATACTTTTTCACAAGCCAAGCAATTCCGTAAAACTCTTATCGCTCCATCCATTTGCAGCCTTCAATGTGATTAGTTTTAACACAGCGGACAAACGTGAAAAGTTCTCACAGTCTTTGTACAAAGGCTTTTCTGCATTCGTCGACAAGGTCTCACACACTCCGCTTGTGTATACTTGCTCAAAGACTTCAGCTCCAATATCATTAATCATCTTTTCCACTCGATCATACATATCTTCATCAACTTCTTCATTTTTTGGCCTACTAGGCATTTCAAATTCACCATGCCATATCCATTTGGTGTAACCCTTATTGAAACCATTGCAAACCACATGCTCTCGAATTTGATCAGCACTTAATCTCCTCTCATTCAGACAATTCACGCACGGACATAAGAACTTCCCATTACTGTCAGGATCATGCTTGCTAGCAAACTCTAAGAACTCATTTACTCCATTTTCATATTCTAAACTTGTCCGGGGAGCATAAACCCATTTACGATCCATAACTACATAACAAAATAAATTTTACATCAACAAATATCATTTAGATAAATAAATAAATAAATAAATAAATATCTATTTATATCAAGACTACTATCATTTAACAATTACAAGCCATATTTTGATTTTTGAGCACAAAAAAAAATGTGCAATCCAACATCTATGATATCTCAAATAAGACGTAACTATCAATCGAACTAAATTAATTATGCTATCAAAAAGTACTTATTTAATAAATTTACAAACTATTCACCTACTTCATCAAAGGTGGTGCAACCAGGCAGATTATGTCAAGTTTGAGATGGTGCTTTCTATCCCAAAGTGTAAAGTCTGAGATGGTACTTTCTTCATTAAAGTTTAAACACTTAGAAATCTTAGCAGAAATCTTAGCAATGGAATTGTAAACCCAAAGTGTTTTGGTCAATAAAATGTTATATTTGAATGATAAAGAAATGGTTAATGGAAATTCACTATTATCCACTAAATGAGGAAATAAACAAACATTAATATAGACAAGACACTGAATATCTATCAGCCATAAAAATAAAATTGGCACTTACACAGCATAAAAGGATTGATTGCTTTTTTCATCCTATTGTGCACTACAAGTAGGTCACCGAATTCTTCCCACAACAAAAAAAAAAAAAAAAAACAATGCTAAACAAAGGACACCAACTTTTGTCATTTCACATAGCTAGCCACCAATTCTACATTATTTCAGCATTAAATTTAAAACATGTAAAATTGTTAAGATAAAATAAAACTATGTAGGTTAGATAGATTTGTGTTTCAGCAAATTAATATATTTTTTTAAAAAAAATAAAAAAAATCCTATGATGCTTTCAAAACACAGTCTTCTGTTGTTGTTACATCGGCCCATAACCCTATCAAGCATGCTAACAAGGTAAACAGTTTTGAACAGAGTAGCCCTGCTAAAATGCGTCAAGGCGTAAACATATGATTTGGCTCTGAACCATCTATGCATTCAATAATCGTTATTGCCAATTGGTTAAAGAAAGAATGATCACAACTCTAGATATTAAACCAGGTTCTTAAGCGATACGGCTAATGTTACAATTTCTGAAGTAATAGGCTTCGACGATTTGGATCCTTTTACGAAACACATGCCCAGCTTGTGTTTTGCTACAATTGATTGCAAACTTCTGAGCCTAAGAGTGTCGTGCCTTCACAGTTAAGACAAATCCTATCATTATCTGCTAAACGACAAAAAATTATCATTGATAGTTAAAATGCTGGTTATGACTGGTAAAAGCATTTAACAGTCTCAACACTATTATCATTGTTCTGAGAATAAATAAATCTGCCATGTCTAGTCAAATGCGCATCATAAAGAAAAACTGGTTTTTAAATATGTAGCCTCAGCTACATTCTGCAAAAAATTATGGATAGAAACGTAGCTACTGCTAAGATGTGCCTTGTAAGTGCACAAGCTAAAAAACTAAACGAGCCAACTGAGATAGGCCTTATAGGTAGATGCAATATTGTAGAACCAGTTAAGTAAATGAAAACAATGTAGACACTTGCGGGCACTTCCATGAAGCTACACACCACATATAGCATATGAAATTCAGATTTTCATGAAGTTAGAAACCTCTAATCAAAATCACATTGAGATATTAAAATGGGATAGTAATTCCTTTTGGGATGGGTTGACTTGCAAAGGGCATTTACAGCTTAATTGATAGAAAGTTATCTTTACGTCAATAAAAAAAAAACTATGATAGTTTTATGAATTCAATCACCATAAGGTAAAGATCTGAAAAGCAAATCGAACATATGCTAGAGGCATTGGAAGAAAAATCATAACACAAATACTTGATCTCATATGGAAGAATAAAAACAGGCTGATCCAATGATCAAAGGATCATTCAATAAAAACAAGGATCATTCAAGAATAAGTACCTTAACAGCAAAAAATCAAATCAATAGTATTATCTTATCTCAAACCTAAAAAAATGCCCATGAAAACAGAACTCTCAAAAGCATAAAGAGGGCTGCAAACACAATCTGGTTCAAATTCGATTTTAAATATTTAGTTCTATATAAACCAGCAAAGCAAATGCAAAACAATCTTCAAAGTTTAAATGAACATCGTCAAATTCGATTTTAATTCTATCTCCATCCTACAATCCTATTTAGTTCTATATTTTAAATATCAACCAGCAAAGCAAAACAAGACCCAGATCAAAGTTTGTGAGTTTTGAGGACAACTTCAGTTGAGATAATTTGTGAAGAACGACTTACCAAAGAACGTCAAACGGCTATTGATGGACAATGGGCAGCGATCGACGGACAATGGGCAATACGCGCTAGCCGACGGACGATTGTCGCTTGAAGGAGGTCGAGTTGTACTTGCGGTACACGAACTGTGGATGGTCCAGAGAAGAGAATAGTGAATGTACTGTGCAAGTGCGGCGGTGAACTGTGAAGGTGCGATGAACTGTGAAGGCGCGACGGTGGAGAGTTTTGAGAGCAACACTGTGAAACCGGTACTAGAGGGTTTTGAGCAATCGATTTTCAGAAAGATGGATTTAGCGAATATTTTTTTTTTTTTCAAGACTTAGCGATTTGGGTTTAAGAATTATGTTTGGAAGTTTGGCGGGCACATCAAATTTGGGCTTCCTAACATCGTTTTATTAAACTGATGCACATTAATTTAGACTGCTATTTTTTTGGGCCACATTCACATCATTTTATTCGAACCGATGCATTCTAAATACATCATTTGTTTAAGTTTTAACATCGGTTATTGTGGAACTGATATAATAAGTGTCATCGTTCACATCGGTTGTGTAATAACCGATGTCCCAAGTGATACTTTTATTACGGAAATGTCACAATCTTTATTGTTTACATCGGTTCCGACAAAACCGATGTCAACATCTGATGTGAAAAGTATTTTTATAACGGTTTTGACTTGAACTTGACTTTGAAAGAAACTAGAGGGCTCGACTCCTCGTAAAACTACATTCATTGGGGTCATGTCTTAGCGTCTTAACATGGAACTTATTCTTATACTTATGCTTATACTTATAGTTATAATCATACATAAGCTTTAGAAAAACTTTGCTTGCTTGGCTTCACCTTGCTTGCATTCTTTTGAAAACATTCTTATTATAAAACATTTGGACAATCGAACTCTTAGCTTGCTTGCTTACGGATACTATTCTAATCGCCTAAGGTTCATCATGATCTCACTCAATGCTCTACAGCTCATACATGTCACATAAGCATGCTTTATAAACATAAGACTCACTTAAGCAATTACACTTAATTCTTTGACAAAACCTAACACGTGCTGCATTTTTAAAACGAGCATATCTTTCAACATACAAGTCGCATTAACATGATTCAAGTCTCATATTGCTCCTAAGACATGGTACTACAATTTTCATTTAGCACTCAAAAGCAAATAAGGTCATATACATGGTCCAAAACCAGCAAACATTTAGGCTTAAATGCTGTCCAGAAATTTAAAATAAATTCATGCGCGGTTTTACGAAAACAAGTATCATTCACTACTCGGACCATATTTTTGCTTGATTCCAGAACCACATGAAAGATAACACATAGAGGTAAAATTTCAATGAAGACTTCAGGTTTATTTGAGCACATTATCATATCATAAACACACAAAACATCAAAACCTAACTGCAGCCGGATCTAAGAAAAACTGCTCGCGCAGTCAATTTTGTAAAAATCATAACTTATTCGTTTTAAGTCAAAATTGTACGATTCCAAAGCTCACGTAAACACAACTGAACGAACTACATATCATATGAAGAACTCGAAAACCGAAAATAACATCTCAGGGGCCTAAACTTCTTTCGAACAGACAGCACGAAAATGACAATTACACACGAAATCATAACCTAATTATCCGAACTTCATATCATCTCGAAAGCAACCTAAAGCAATGATTCTAGGCACGTTTATCACATAATAAGACACGATTATGAACACATAAATTGATAACAATTAACCCTATTCACCTATCATTCAATTAATTCTTTCGGAAGCCCGACAAGGCTCCGACCAATTCCAACTCAACAATTATTTACTCGGACCTTAAGCAAGCATACGAGATTCGATTATCAAGTCTTAACACATTAATAATTCTTACGTAACTTAATCGAATTCAAATTAATAGTCCAAGAAGGTAAGCAATAGGGTTTTACCGCTCGAGAAAAAAGATGACGGTAAGGGTTCGAAAGGGGCTCGAATGAACTTGGCCATGAACGTGGAGGGGCTGCTCGTTTGTGGAGGAGCTGCGGTGAATGGCTGCGTTGCTCGTCGTGGAAGAGGACGGTGGAACGGGGCTCGCGACTGGTGGCTGCTCACGGTGAAGCTTGTGGCTCACGGCGGAGAAGGTGACTTGCTGCTTGCGTGCGGAGGGCTCGCCGGCTACGTTTAATGCTCCGACGGAACTCGGCGGGGCTCAACGGCTACGATGGGTACTTCGACGGAACTCCTCGGGTCCCGACAGCGATGGAGCTACGACGGTGATGGTTGCAGGAGCTTGCGGTGATGGTGATGGTGGTGCGCGGTGGAGATGGGGCCTGCGCAGACGGTGAAGATGGTGATGGTGATCGATGGAGCTTCGATGATGATGATTGGTGGAGGGCTGTGCGATGAAGGTGGCCGATGATGATGACTATGGTGGACGGCCGCTGGGACGATGGCGGGGATGGAAGGCTCGACGTTGAAGACGATGGAGATGGGCTGAGCGATCGATGGTGGTGATCGATGAGATGATGAAGGCTGCAATGGTGATCGGTTTTGGGAAAAAAAAGGAAAATAGAGAGAGAGCCGAGAGTAAGAGAGAGACGTGAGGGAGATAGAGATAAAAGAGAAAAGATATTTAATGTGGGATTGGTACCGTATACAATAGGAATTCTTTGCACAATAGAACTAGGAAACTGATAAAAATTAGGATTCATGTTGCTTGGATGAGGGATGAAAATATCGTAAGTCTTGAGCTT